CCAGGATGATCACCCCGGTAACGACTATGGCCACAACGAACAGCGCGGACACCGCTCTAAACATCTCGATCATGCTCAGTATTGAGTTGTACGGGCAGCAGCGACAACTTGATAAGAACTGCAGCTTAAACCGCTATAGAAAACAACCACCACGAGCTAGATGGCAATGATCTTTGCCATATCAAACACGACAAACACTTTAGAACGAACTCACCATCGAGACGGTTTAAATGTCGAAATTGCAATGATGGGCACCATTCTCACAACTAAATCTTGATGCTGATGCGCTCTACTAAAACCGCGTTGCGTCACTTATCAAAATATGCAAAACGAGGATGAATCTCTCCCTAGATCATGGGGAGGAACATTCTCGTTTCACATTTTATCAACGCTTTTACCACTAAGCGTGGAACCTCACGCAAATTCCGCCTAAGCTGTTACTCAAACAAGAAATCCGCCGCGGCCAAACGATTCAAAGTACTTTAAAACTTCAACACAACATCTTAGATTGCCAAAATTGGTAAAGAAACGACCAAGTTATTTCAATTTTTTTACTCTTCTTCTCCTCCGCCTCCCGCCATCACCGCACTACAGCGCGCCCCCGTTTCTTCCTAACTCCCTTTATACTAATTTTCTATCGAGTCTAACTTTGGAATCGGGGTCGCCAGGCTCAAAGACCCCAGATTCGACTCCTCCCTCGCCCGTTTTCGTCCAGAAACGGGCAAGATCGACAATTTTTTCTTTCTCGTTCCTTTCTCACTCCTCGCCATCTCGGCGCAAGCTTTTCTTCACTTACCTCCTTACTCACTAATCTATCATCAAACCTAACCTTACTAATGATTTTGCCCTAGCCTAAAACCTCAAAGTCCCTTCTTACCTCGCTTCAATCCAAAAAGTAACGAAGAAGGTCTCCGCTCTCCCTCTTCTTCACCATCCTTCCATAGCTCTGGCGCACCATTCTCTCTACTAGCCTCCTAATCCACTAACATACTACTAAAACTAACACTATTATCTAGTTCGTTCGGGGACAAACCCTCGGGATTGCCTCTTCTTCTTCTCGATTTCGCTCAGAATGGAGAACGCCTCGCTTTCTCGACTGCGTCCGACCCCGCGTCCTCTCCAGCCTCCGTTTCCGAGTGCACTTGCCCCAACCGCCGTCTGGGTTCACCCAAAGTTTTCCCACTTGCCTTTCCCTGTCACTGTGCTTCTTCCTGTCGCGTATGCATCCGACGCTAGGTCCCGTCCTAATTCATTCCATCGCCCCTACCATCCTATCTGCCTCATCCATCCCCGATCTTTACCACCGCCTGTTCTTACTGATGATCGACTGGGCTTCAAACCTAACACCCCGCCATAGCTCCTCTTCCCCCCCCGCACTCACCTCCGAGTGCACTCGGCGTGGTTCCTATCCAGATTCATCCCCCTACTTTCTGCGCTCGCACCCCGCCTGGCTTGGTCCCTCGTTTGGCCGCGACCAGCGCACACTAGATCGTCAGGTAACCACACTCTCCACACGACGGTGCGCCCGAACGAACCACCGACCGCTATAACCCACAGCCGAACGCCCTCGCAGGGCTTACGCAAGTATGACTGGAGGATTGTTCACTGCCTCCCAATTTATGCTTCTACCGCCCGTTGATCTTCCTACTTGCCCAGCCCCATTGAGCCCACTCCCATATGGTACTCGCTGACTGAACGGGAGGGGGCTGGGACTAAACCCCCAGACCTTTGCAGAGGCGGAGTTGATCGCCGGCCCACTGGCCTTAGTCTTCGTAGGCTGTTGCAGTTGCGGCCTTCGACACGCCTATCAAACAATAAAGAACCAGAACAAAAATAGTCGATAAAAAAAAAAAAATTAATAATAATAATAATAATAACAAAAACTAACGCGGTAGGGGAGGGAAAATATGACATGTGGGCACTACCTTGGTCCCTGCCGGGCGGGCCCGCCACCAGACTCCCCCACCAAAACTAAAGGGGATAGTCCCGTGGAACCCTCAACCCCTCAACTCTTCGATGCTCCAACGTTCTTATGCCGCCGCCCTCTGGCCTCGATCCCCATACCTTCGCAGCCATAGTTCAGTGTCGTAACCTATAGGGCTATGCCCAAGCCTGGGGCTGGCCTGCGCCAAATTCAATAAGAGATGATGCAGTGCAGCGCCTAGCCCTGGAAAAACCGCCTGGACTCATTCTCCCCTACAACTAGGCACGCGACTGCTAGACATCCGTGTCAGCTTGCCTAATTGGTGCCATGGCTACCTCGCGCCCCTCTCCTTGCGCTAGACCTACCATTGGCCAAACGCTTCCAAAAACCAAACCTTTTTTTCCTCACTCTAATTTCTAACAAAAGTAACTAAACTGGCTACACAATCAAACAGAAGAATCACACGTGCGCCTTGAAACTGCACGTCCACTCAAGCTCTACTTTAGTCAACCAACATCAGCGTAGCCCAACAAGCTTAGCCTAGACTCGCGGGGTACATTTAAACGTTTAAACTTACTTCCTGTCGCTTGCAAAGACCCAGGGCGGATACCCTTGTCAGGGTATTCGCACCGACAGCTTACCGGACCATATTAAGAGACGTCCCCGTCGCTTCGCATGATCGAAAAACTATAAATTCATCTACAACTCCAAATGTTTACGAGATGAGAACCAATCCGATGACCGAGTCAGGGTTGAGGCCTCCAACAATCCAAGCTCTTATAACTATATGCCGCCAGGGTTCCAACCTGTGTCCCCATTGCCATGACCCTAGGGCGCCGGTGTACTGGACATACGTACCACAACATAAGTCTCAACGACCCGTCTCAACCGTCCTCTCCCCTTCGTCCTAGATAAATGTCGGTTTCTCGTCAAGTGTCCTTGGTCTCTACCCTGCGAGCAAGACTTTGACCAAGGACACGGACCCTAACCGAGACCTTAGAAGGCAGTTTCGCCTTCTTCCAACAATTCTCACAATCAAATATACATATATATATACACCTCCTGCGGTCCAGTACAGGGAAACTAGGTCTCCATCTTGGCCCACCGTAGTCTGGGTGATCGTGTCAGATCTATGACCCACCGCGTTTGTTAGTTCAGCGGTAGTGCCCTCGCAGGTTGCGCCGCGATAGGCTTTTTCTCCTGATAAGCATTCAATCAAGATTAAAAAAGACTCGACTCGACCAAAATCCCACGCCGGTCCGCAAGAGTAAAACCCTCCTAGGTGGTCACACCTCTTTAAGTCTTTACTCCCTTGGCACGACGTAGGCCCGCTGTCCAGGTTACGCCGATCAGCAATTGACACTAGAGGTTGCTCCCTAGTGATGCTAAACTTTACCGTTAACTTGGTATTCTCATAAATGCCCCAAGAGTAGCACAAGTGGCTGGACGGTGTGTCGCAACAATACAGACCTACTGCGAGACTACGCAAAGGTCTGTCACACATAAAGGGTATTTACCAGTCCTCTGTACGACAACACAGAGAAACACGGCAACCTCTCCACATTCATAAAACAAAATCACCGCTAGACTCAAAAGGTCATGACTACCCTACTTGATCAGAGCAAGAAAGCCACACATCCCAGTGACATCTCCCGAATGAACCCATTTGCGACCTCTTAAGAACTTCCAACAATGGTCAAGCAACAATATGGTTCTTCTCGTCAGACTTTATCATTCAAACCCAACTTACCATGCCATTAAATCTATTAACCACCTTTCATATGAAGGATGTCTCACTAAATACGTCTCCCAGCCATCCCTTTCTATCTGGGATGAACTTCCATACGACCTCTTATTAAAACATCTTCCCTCTTGAAAGATGACTCTTCCAACAAGCAAAGGACTGCCTTCTCATAAAATACGCCTCTACCATAAAACAACTCAAACTGAGAGACCACCTTATGGGTCCTTCTCACAACTCAACAATAAACATTTGGCATGGCAAGCTTTTGAGTCTCAAGGACTCACTAATCCCTTAGGATTCCCACACTTTCACAAAAACAGTCTGCGCTTCCTCTTCTTATACCCGGCCCCATCACCCGCTCGTGGGCAGATCGCACGAGTATACCAAAGAGTAGGCAGTTCACATTCATTCTCATTCACAAAATACATATCACACAAGATGTATCTCATACATCTTTCTTATAAAACCATCATACATCAGGATAAAACCACACATGTGAGAGTGAGCGTGATCGTCACGTTCAAAGGGTAATCTCAAGTAGCACCCACTCATAAATACACCCAGGGATGAGATATCTCATCCTCAAATGTACAAAAATAATTCTTGTCTCATGACCCACTGAAAACAACTCACGTCACTCTCAATATAGTACATGGTCAACTGTACAAAAAATCATCAAAACAACTCAGAATTCTACTGTCACTCAGTGTATACATTGTATTTTACATGATCCTGGTCCTAGTGGTCATCCTATGTCGTAGTCCTCGTCTGTACACCCAATAGCATCGGTACCCAACTGTCCAAATGAAAGCAAGGCTAATAGAGAGATGTTTACTCCTTAGACGAACCAGTCCCTACTCACTCATGTTCTCCTGGTTCAGCCTATACAACTGAGCCCTACCCCCGTCGGTAGATCGCTCTACTATCCTACCCTGTCTATCATACATTCTTTCACCACTTTCCGTGAACTTTCCCTCAGCCAGGTCCTTTAAGAACTTAGGGCACTGCAAAGCCCTATGCTCTCCCTTTTTGCAGAAGAAACAGGTCGAATCGAATGACTTTCTTGCCCTCTTCTTCCTTCGCTGAGACCCTGGCGATGATGGTGCCTCATTGACCTCCCTGCTCAGCTCATAACTCTGAGGTGCATCCATAGGTTCCTCGGATCTTTATTCCAACTCCTGAGTACTAGTTCCCGATCGTATCCCAACTCCCTCCGGCCTATACTCAGGCGTATCCAATCTCTGGGGCCTGCCCTCGATGTAGGGCCCGTTGTCACCGTAGGCAGTATAGTGAGTTCAGTGGGGGGTTTGAACTCGAAGGCCTCTCTCTTCGCCTCCCTCTGGGCCTTTACTTCCTCAGGTTCCAAGATGACTCTCCCCATGGGCGACCCCTACTGAGGTACAGTTGCGGCTGACTGCCTTGATAAGTCGAGTTCCGGCTGCCTCTGCTCCCCCTGTCGGCTGCTCTCCGCCCTGCCCATTCTCCCGTGAAGTTGCTGTTCCAGGTCCCGAATGATGGCGGCTTGACTGACCACCAATACTCTGAATTCGCGGACCTCAACCTCGACGGCCTCCAAACGCACTCCCTGACTTGTCTCCCTCATCTCTTTCCCCCTCAGATCAACTTCCAACATCATGTATTTGTCGAAGGATGTCTTGGACAGGGAGCGGATCCTTCGGTCCAAATACTCATCCGCTTTCTGTGAGGTCTCGACTCCCGCCTTGTCTGGAGCCGTTAACTCCTTGCCATGTTGGATAAGGAACTCTTTCCACATTTCTTTGATTCCATACGGCCTGTGGGGTGGTGGCGGATTCCGGGAGTACCCCTGCCTCTTCCAATCTCTGTCTCTCTTGCCGAATTTCTTCCAAGCGCCTCCCTACTCTGGCCCGCTTTTGCTCAGCTGTTTCCCCTGCTGGTACTCTCTCTTATGCAGCGATCGGCTCCCTCTAGGATCTCTGCTTCCACCTTTCTTTAGGCCTGACATGACTCTTGAGGCGGTTCCATAGGCACGGGCTCCTCCAGGTCAGGGTGCTTAAGTGTCTGTTCGGCCAGATGCCTGTCAATCAACGCGAGTGCCTTTTTCCTCTGGTCAGCTCTCTCAGTCTCTCTTTCCTCCATTCCTTCTGGCGGCGGGACCATCTTTGGCAGTGGTGGTCGCACCTCCTCTCTTTGTGACTCCTCTCTTCCCCTAGGTGCGCTCCTTGGCGGACTCCCAAGCCTCAATCCCACAGCTGGCATCTGAGGAGGGGTATCCTCCTCAACCTCTATGACCTCCTCCTCAACGCGTCCTCCCTCAGTACTTGGTCCTCTCTCACGCTCAAGGCTCTGAACTTCCTTTCGCGGCACCCCTTCGACTGGCTCGTCACGCCTCTCACTTACCGGCGGCATTTTCCACTGGGAGACGTCCAAGTGTGCCTCCAACTTTTGTAATGACTCTCTAGATACCGACACCTCCTCCCATATGTGCAGTGGAGATACTCCCTGTCCTCCTTCAGGAAAACGATGGAACTTCACCGGTCCTAATCCGTACTCGGGATATGTCCCTTGCCCCTCAGTCTCAGGCACCATCTCCTCCTCCCGCCTGGAGAGCGCCTTTCGTCCCCTTTGCAACAGCCTGGCCTCAGTGGGCTCAGGGTCCCTCTGCCTCCTGCTCCTCAGGCGTCTCTCTACTCTGGGCTGCGGCTGTTCTGGCCGTCGGAATACCTCCCTCAAGTGCGCCCTGCAACCTTCCCAATTCTCGGGTCATGTCCCTGATCTGCCTGACCAATGACGTTTCCGCCTTCCGGGTCCATAAGGGTAACGTTCTCGCTCATTCATCTCTCAATATGCCCTGATCATGCATGAACTGTTCGTAAGCGCGAATGAACTCCTCTGCATTCCCGATCTCTAGGCGAATCGGTCTGCCATCAGGTCCTACACGCGATGGTCACAGCTCCTGCGTCCTCGCCTCCACCTCTGGCCTCGTCCTCGTCTCCCTACGGATCTGTGCGAAGGGCTCTGTGAATCTGTCAACTCTTCTCAACCTCCCGATTGCCTGGGTCATGGTCCAACCCATATGATTAGCGTACCCCCAGAACTCGTCCAGGAACAACTCAATATCCCCATCGTCGTACACTGGCGTGCTCTCTCGGTTGTGAGACCCATTCCGCTCATATCCTCCTGATGCTCCCAACGACCTCTGTGACAGTCGTGTCCCCCTCCCTCCTCTTGGCATGGCCGTCTTCGCAAAGTCAGACCTGCATAACAGGCGAAGGAGACAACAGACACACGTCGGGATAAGCAAGCAGTCGGTAAATAAGCAAGCTTATGTCAGACCAAGCACATACATCATGCAATCCTTCTAACCTACACACTCCGCTATCCTACTCTAAGAGAACTAGATTGTATATCTCACCTCTTCTCTCGCCACAAACTTCTCCAGCCTTGTTCCTAACACCCAGTCCTTCCATTCTGTCCCATTCAATTCCTCAATCTGATACGCGCCGAAATCTCCGCATTGCATAATTCGATAAGGACCCAACCATTTCTTGTCACGCTTTCTGGACCACTGTTTTTCCAAGGACGAATCACACAGGAGTACGACGTCTCCAACTGCCAAGGATACTATCCTTACACGAGTCGGTTGATCCCAGCGAGCCTTATCGTCCATCCGACTCCTTTCTACTTGGTTGGACGCTTCCTGAATCCTTACCTCAATCGCACCCACTTGTCGTGCTCGAATGTCGAGCAATTCTTCGAACGACAGGCTGACCTCTAAATACTGGCGCCTCCAAGTTTTCATGAAGCTCTCAATTGGGAACGCAGCGTGTCTCTCATACCATAGCGTAACCGATGCGTACTTAGTGGTCCTCCTTACCGTAATATTCTCAACAAAGAATGCCGCCCTTAGATACCTTGGCCATTGATTGGGCCTACCTTCAGTCCATTTGGCCAACAGGTTCATAATGATGTTGTGCCCTCTTTTCACTGGAGCATCTGCCTGAGGGTGCGCAGTCGTGGTGTAATTAGCTACTACACCATTCCTTGACAACAACTCTTGCACCTCCTGACAGGTACACTCCGATCCTCTATCCATTACGAACTCTCTGACAAAAGGATAATGCAGGTAATACTCCTCGATGCAGCTAACCAGGACGAACCCAGTCTTCGTACGAATGACCCGCCCATCCAAAAAGCCAGATACGTTGTCTCGCGCATCGAAGATGTAATTGTAGCCATGATCTCCGAGGGGCATAAATAACAAGTCGAGATGTACTACGACCCTTACTTCCCTTTCCAACCTTTGATGCAGCAGCGCTCCCGGTCTCAAATAAGATTGCTCTTGACAAGATATGCATGACCGACATAACTTACCAACCATCTCCATCATTCCGTCCCAATAGTATAGCTCACTTATTTTGGCATATGTGGTAGTAATTCCTCGATGTCCTCCCGCAATGCCGTCATGAAGTGCAGTTATAACGTCGATCTGGCGCTTCCTGCCGCATACAACTCTCCTGGGATTTCCTACTTGTCTTTTTACGAAGAGATGATCATCCCTCCCCAAGTAAAGTTCCCTCATCCTTTGGGCCCTATCGCTTGCATCCCTGTGCCGCATCTCGCATGATAGGAGAAGTCCCAGGTCCAGGTAATTTCTGTCATACTCTTCTGCACGGAACGCCTCCTTGATCTCCCCCTCTTCAAACTCGTCATCCTGGCTTTTCTAGTACAGCATCTCCTCCCTCAGTCGGATTTGGCGAGCCTTCTAAGTCAAATGACTCCTGCAGAAGTGTATTGACGAGGAGGTACATTCCCCCCATCAATTCCTCATGCCTTCTTACCCGTTCCGCACCTTCCTCTATCGCCGTTATCTCTTTCACCAGCCCATGATTGCCTGCGAGTGTCAGCTTCATCATCCATTGGACATCTTTACTGCCCCAAGGGTCCTCTTCTTCAAAGGGTTTGAGTACTAGCTCGACCTTCCTCTCATACCCGTTTGGTGCGTGCCAAATAGGATGACCAACACAGCTAGGCACTTGCGAAAACCGTTTGTTAATGTGGAGACAAACATCCTCCTCCTGATCCAGAAAACCATCAACTGGGGGCGTATCTTCTATTGCCTCCCCTTCCTGCTTATCCCAGTTGATGCGGCTTAACCCATCTGCTCTATTCGTATTCCCCGGAATCCGCTCCAACTCAAAGTTGAACATCCAAATGTATGTTAACCACCTGACAACCATTGGATCGGACGAAACATAATTCCTCAGGGAGAAAGCTAGAGTTGTAGGATCCACCCTGAATATGAACCTCCTGCCAAAGATGTAGTTCCGAAAGATCCGTAGGCAGTGAAGGACAACGAAAGTCTCCCTTTTGAACTGAGAGTAATTCCTCTCTACACAGAGTTCGACTCTCAAAACGCAATGGTCTCTCCTTCCCTTCAATATCTGTCTGGATAAAAACCCCTCCCAAAGCAGTTGGTCCACCATCAGTCTCAACAATAAATGGTCTCACTTCAGTGGCATCATAGTCCGGCGCCCCCAACACCATTCCTCCTTCTCGAAATTCTTCCTTTATTCCTGCCACCGCTTTGTCCTGATCCTCACCCAAAATCCACTCCTGATCCTGACAAACTAGCTTCCTTAATTGCTCTATCTTGGCAGCAACGTTCTTGACGAAGGTCCTCCAGAAGCCACACGTACCAAGGAAGCTCCTAACATCTGTTATCGAGTGGAATGGCACTGGCCACTCCACTACTTGTCCGTTTTCTTAATGTTTGGCCGCCGGTTTACCACAGCCTGCCTGTAGTAGGCAGCAACATGGAGCAGTGTGCCACAAACTGGAGTAGTGGGCCACAATCTGCTATAGTCTAGGTAGTGGGCCACAACCTGCTACAGTCAACAATCGACTGTGGCCAGTATCAGTCAGCAACCAGCAGTTGGTAGTATCGACCAGCTCTGTCAAGCCCCACTGGCTTGGGTAACTGGCAAGCCCCGTCCGCTCCCCCGAAGTAATCGAACGGACCGCGCGACTGACCTCGGCACCAAACCGCTGCGCCTCAGGCTGTATCAGTCAACAACAACTCAGCGGTATGCAGTAGTACGCAACAACCAACAGTAGGCAGCCGTAGTAGCAGTTGTCAGCAGTTAGCCACAACTCTCGCACAATTCAACAGAAACAGTCAGCCGTGCATAGTCACAAAAGAGGAGCAACTGTTCGCAGCATTCAGCCGCAGTATGCAGCGGCCAGCAGTAATGTGCAACCGCCAGCCAAAGCCACACTAATCGCTCTTTACAACAACAACTGCTCTGTATACTGAACCGCCCGCGCAAATCTCCGCCTCTGCGGTTTGTGACCCGAAGTATGCTCGTCACAGGTAAGTCTGCACCTTCGCGGTCAGCCCTCTATTGTATTGGCTAATGAGACGATGGTCATAAGAGTCTCCAACCCGTCCGGCAGTCTCTGCTGCCCATCCGCTGTGACTTCACTTTGACGAGTCGGACCTTACATTGGCCGGTAGGCAAATCTTCAGCCTTGAGCCTCTTCCCCGACTTCGGCGTTCCAATGAAATAGCAGCATACGACCTGTAGACACACCCCCAAACTGGCAGTTCGATTGCCTCGTCACCTGGCTTTATGAAACAGGCAGCGCACCTGCCAACACGTAATTCCCCAACCTAGCGGCTAGCCTCGCGCCCCCTCCATCGATTAGGCTGAGTAAAGTCGAACGAACCTTCTGCAACAGCACGAGCAGGTGCTTTTTTATTGACCAGATTACCTTCCTCGTATCGGCCTCCTGTTGGCTCCGTCCGCACCTCTCAGTATATTTGCGCTGAGCCTCTCAAAGGTGCAAGTCGAGAGTGAATCTCCCTCGAGAAGGAGACCAGGTACGTATCCGTTTCCTTCCCTCTCCTCCTCTCTCTTTCGATCTCTCCCGCTTGTGTGTATGCATGTACGTCGTGCGCCCGTGTCTAGGTGGCAATGATCTCTGTCATATGAAACACGACAAACACTTTAGAACGAGCTAGGTGGCAATGATCTCTGCCATATCAAACACGACAAACACGACAAACACTTTAAATGTCGAGATCGCAATGATGGGCACCGTTCTCACAACTAGATCTTGATGCTGATGCGCTCTACTAAGGCCGTGTTGCGTCACTTATCAAAATATGCAAAACGAGGATGAATCTCTCCCTAGATCGTGGGGATGTACATTCTCATTTCACATTTTATCAACGCTTTTACCACTAAGCGCGGAACCTCCCACAAATTCCGCGTAAATTGTTACTCAAACCAGAAATCCGCCGCGGCCATACGATTCAAAGTACTTCAAAACTTCAACACAACATCTTAGATTGCCAAAATTGGTCAAGAAACGACCAAGTTATTTCATTTTTTTTACTCTTCTTCTCCTTCGCCGTCCGCCATCACCGCACTACAGCGCGCCCCCGTTTCTTCCTAACTCCCTTTATACTAATTTTCTATCGAGTCTAACTTTGGAATCGGGGTCGTCAGGCTCAAAGACCCCAGATTCGACTCCTCCCTCGCCCGTTTTCGTCAAGCAACAGGCGAGATTGACAATTTTTCTTTCTCGTTCCTTCCTCACTCCTCGCCATCTCGGCGCAAGCTCTTCTTCACTGACCTCCTCACTTACTAATCTATCAACAAACCTAACCTTACTAATGATTTCGCCCTAGCCTAAAACCTCAAAGTCCCTTCTTACCTCTCTTCAATCCGTTAAGTAACGAAGAAGGTCTCCGCTCTCCCTCTTCTTCACCATCCTTCCATAGCTCTGGCGCACCATTCTCTCTACTAACCTCCTAATCCACTAACTTACTATTGAAACTAACACTATTATCTAGTTCGCCCGGGGCCAAACCCCAGGATCGCCTCTTTTTCTTCTCGATTTCACTCGGAGTCGAGATCGTCTCGCTTTCTCGACTGCGCCTGACCCTCCTTCCTCTGCAGCCTCCGTTTCTGAGTGCACCTGCCCCGGCCGCCTTCTGGGTTCACCCACAGTTTTCCCACTTGCCTTTCCCCATCATTGTGCTTCTTCCTGTCGCGCATGCATCCGACGCTAGGTCTCGTCCTAATTCATTCCATCGCCCCTACCATCCTATCTGCCTCATCCATCCCCGATCTTTACTACCACCTATTCCTACTGATGATCGACTGGGCTTCAAACCCAACACCTCGCCATAGCTCTTCTTCCCTCCCCCGCACTCACCTCTGAGTGCACTCGGCGTGGTTCCTATCCAGATTCATCACCCTACTTCCTGCGCTCGCACCCCGCCTGGCCTGCTCCCTCGTTTGGCCGCGACCAGTGCACACTAGATCGTCAAGTACGCACACTCTCCACACGACGGTGCGCCCGAACGAACCACCGACCGCTATAACCCACAGGCGAACGCCCTCGCAGGGCTTACACAGGTCTGACTGAAGGATTGTTCACTGCCTCCCAATTTATGCTTCTACGGCGTGTTGGTCTTCCTACTTGCTCAACCCCATTGCGCCCACTCCCATATGGTACTCGCTGGCTAAACGGGAGTGGGCTGGGACTGAACCCCCTGACCTTTGCATAGGCGGTGTTGACCGCCGGCCCAGTGGCCTTAGTCTTCGTAGGCTGTTTCAGTTGCGACCTTCGACACGCCTATCAAACAATTAACAGGCAGAACAAAAATAGCAGATAAAAAAAAAAAAAAGATAATAACAAAAACTAACGCTGTAGGGGAGGGAAAACATGACCTGTGGACACTCCCTTGGTCCCTGCCGGGCGGGCCCGCCACCAGACTCCCCTACCAAAACTAAGGGGGATAGTCCCGCGGGACCCTCAACCCGTCAGCCCTTCGATGCTCCAACGCTCTTATGTCGCCGCCCGCTGGCCTCGATCCCCGTACCTTTGCAGCCATAGTCCAGTGTCGTAACGTATAGGGCTAAGCCCAAGCCTGGGGCTGGCCTGCGCGAAATTCAATAAGAGATGATGTGGCGCAGCGCCTAGCCCTGGCAAAACCGCTCGGGCCTCATTCTCCCCTACAACTAGGCACGCGGCTGCTTGACATCCGTGCCAGCTTGCCTAATTGGTGCCATGGCTACCTTGCGCCCCTCTCCTTGCGCCAGACCTATCATTGGCCAAACGCTTCCAAAATCCAAACCCTCTATTCCTCACTCTAATTTCTAACAAAAGTAACTAAACCGGCTACACAATCAAACAGAAGAATCAAACGCACGCCTTGAAACTGCACGCCCACTCACGCTCTACTCTAGTCAACCAACCCATCAGCGTAGCCCAACAGGCTTAGCCGCGACTCGCGCGGTACATTTAGAC